AAGCCATCCCTGCTCCCGCGAAGCCTCCTCCGAGGCCTCTAGACCCCTTTTCGACGGCACCTGCCCTCTGAGAACCCCCCCTTCCCCCTCCCCCCCGCCCTTGTGCAGGGCCGCCCCCCCCTCGCGCCAGGCCCCTCGTGCGCGCTGCCAGCCTCCACCGCCGCTGACCCCCCTCTCTCCCCCCATCCCCTGTTTCGGTGACAACTCGTGGGAGCCTCCAATACCATCTTGCCGGCTCTTGCGAATCGACGCCAATCGACGCTAAATCGACCCTAATCGACGCTAAATCGACGCTGATCGACGATAACCGACGCTAAATCGGCGCTATCTCTTCGACTCCTAGACGCTAATCGACGCTAACCGACGCTAGAGACGGAATAAGAAGGTATACCAGGCTCCCATGATTTGCTACCGAACCCTGGGGAACCAGAAGATACCGATACGGCGGCCCCAGCGCAGATCCAAGAAGTCCGCCCAGACCGTCGAAAGTTTATGGCTATGCCGTATTTCTCCGTCGAGATACTAGAGGCCTCCCACGTGGGATCCGCTTAGACGGGTCGGAGGATCGTGCCGCATCGCCGATGCACCGCCGGTGCATCGGCAATACATCGCCGACGTCGGCGACGCATCGGCGCCGTCGGCGTGGAGAAAGTCTGGCTCCACATCGAGCCGCATTGCCGATGCATCGAAGAAATTGCGCGATCCTCCGACCCCATCTGCTCGGATCCCATCTGGAAGGCCTAGAGATACTGCTACTCCCCAGACATCTCCCGGGGTGCGTTCTGACTAGAGCTTTGAAGCGAAACCAGCCATGGCGACGAGGGTCTCCCAGGAGGCTCACAAGGGCACAAGGGCGAAAACGAGGGAAGGGTAGCAGTATCCCAGACCCCCGACGAAACATTTTTCCCAGAACGTCGACCCCCAACGGTCTCGACCCATTCCGCGCAACCGGCTCTTCATCCCGAGTCGTTTTGTAATGGTCCCGGGGCCCAGCGAGAGCCCTGAGAGGCCGAAAACGGCCAAAAAACTCGGGTCGTGTTTTGTTCCTCCCTGACTACCTACCAGGCCACCCCAACCTAACCCAGAGACCCGAATTTGGGGCGGGGGTGGGGGGGGTACGTGTTCCACACGTGCTTTTTCATTGTTCCCGAAATGGAGGGCAAATCGGGGCCTTCAAGTTGGGTTGGGGTGGTTTGGTGGGCGGTGACTCCCACTCCCTGCCCGACCTGCTCTCCAGTGCCCGCCCTCTGGGCAAAAGCGAGCGCGGGATGCTCCGCACGCCGCCGGGGGCCTGTGGCCCGGACAACGCGTGCGGAACGGTCCCGAGCGCCTGCTGCTGCGGCTGCGGCAGCGCCCGCCAGAGTGTGCAGGCGCGTCTAGGTGTCGTCGGCGTCGCCGTCGTCGTCGGCGGCGTCGTTGGCATCGCCATCGCCGACGCCGTCGCCGTCGCCGTAGTCGTCGCCGTCGTCGTCGAAGCCGTCAACGCCGTCGTCGTCTTCGCCGTCGTCGTCGCCGTCGCCGTCGCCGTCGCCGTCGTCGTCGTCGTCGCCGTCGTCGTCGTCGTCGTCCAAGATACGTAAGCGATGCTGCAACGCGCCTTTCCGTCCCAACTCCCCTCCTTGTAAGGCCGGTGCAACTGATGCACAAATTCAAACTTATAGCAATGAACTTCGAGCACGTCTCCAGCGAGAGCCTCATTTCAACAAGGAACCACCCTCCATCCGTGCAGATGCTACAGATGCTCAAGTTAATGATCCTAGAAATTCAAAGAAATATCAAGCGACAGCCCTGTTTTGGGAAAGGAACCACCCTCCATCCCTACAGTTGCTGCAAGCTTTTACAACAAATGCGCGCGGCGCTGGGGTGGGAGAACCCTTTTGGAAACCAGCCCCCCTCCATCCTTGAACAGTTGCAAACGTTTGAGACGAATGCTCAAGGCGCGTGGGCGAGAGCGAAATCTTGAAAACAATCCTCCCCTCCATCCTCGAAGCCGCTGCAAAGTTTAAGACGCATGCGCGCGGCGCAAAGGCGAAAGCCCCCTTTTGAAAACGCCCCCCCCCCCCCTCTCAAATCCTGTAGTGCTTCAAACGTTCAACACGAATGAGCGCGGCACTAATGAGAGAGCCAACTTTTGAAAACTACCCCCTTCCATCAGTCTAGCTGTTGCAAATGCCAAGCGTCGGGATCGTTGATGCTGAGGAAGTCTTAGGCGAAACGCTCGGCCCTACCAACACGCGTGGGGGCGCGACAGGGAGTTGTCTACAGGGATATGGACAGCGATGGCGGAGGAGGAGGACGAGGAGGAGGAGGGCGAGGAGGAGGAGGAGGAGGAGGAGGAGGAGGAAAAGGAGGAGGACTGGTCGGCACACTCCTCGCACGCTTCGTGGCCCCGTAGGGAGCTCCTCCGAAGGCCCCAGTGGCAGCAGTCCGCATGTCGGACCGCCCCCTTCGGCACAGCCCTCACCTTCGTGGCCCCGTAGGAGCTCCGCCCAAGGCCTCAGTGGCAGGGCCCAACTACCCCGACCCCCTTTCGGCGCACCCCTCACCCGGCTCGTGGCCCCACAGGGGGCTCCCCTTCATGATTGCATATGAGGAGGAGAATGAGGAGGAGGGGGAGGAGGAGGAGGAGACCAGCGTAGGAGAGGTTCGTCACGCCTTCCTATCGCGGCGGCAGGCGGCCAGTGCCGCGCCCAAGCCGCAGCGTGGGGGCATTCGCCGAGGACGCAGGCTGCGTGCGGGGAAGAGAGTCGGGGGAGACAGCAGCAGCAGCACCAGGGAGACCCACCCGAGGACGAGGGGAGCGAGGAGAGAGAGGACAGCGGCCCGCAGACTCCGTGACAGCGGGGACCGTGGGAGCACTACAGTCCCCAGAGGAGTCAAACACATATTGAGGGCGATCAGCAATCGGGGATGTGGCATTGGAGGAGGTGCAAGACAAGTAACCAGGCGAGGGATACGAGACGGGCAGAAGAGCAGGGCGGTCACGGTCAGATGAGGACTGCGAAGGCGACGAGCTCGACGAAATGGCAATCGAGATCGAACTGGTCCACCTCTGGATCTGAGAAGGAAATACCTGCTCACGCGACTCAATATCCTCCGGGTCGGTAGCGATCTCAGTAGGGGGCGTCGACGGCGAGGGGACAGCAGGAGTGAGGCCACCGACAGGCGACGGCGGCTGTGGCGACGCAGATCGGCTAGACGAGACAGAGACAGGCGGGGTCAGCCTCGGCGAGCGACACGAAGATGAACTCGTAGAGGAAGCCGAGGAGGACGAAGGCGAGGGACACGTACGGCGCGGGCGAAGCCGCAAGCGATCACGGGCCGAGATCCCAACTGGGCGAGCCAACGCCGCCGAGCGCACCCCAGCCAGGGCACATGAGAAGGCGGACTCGTCCGAAAGCGGCCATCCCTCCACGCACTTGGCTGCGTTGTAGGCGGCGTACGCGACTGCGAGGAAGTGAAAGGCGGGCAGATTCGGCTCAAGCAGCCCCCATCGATGAAGCACAGGCAGAGGTAGAGGGCGAGCCAGGGCACGACGAAGAGCGCGGTGAAAGGGGCGGCAACGGGCGCAATGTCGAAGAGCGTCGGGGCAGCCAGGACACCCGAAGGCACAGCGACGCTTGCCAAGGGGGTGCAGGATGCGGTACGACGTCATCCAGCCGTCAGCCCAGGTACGAAGCGCAGCCCAGGCCCAGGAGCAGGGGCAGGATGCCAACGTGCTCGCGATTGAGTCCCACGGGAGGGAGGTGACCAGGGAGGCGTGCCGTGGGAGCAGCTTGGCAAGGCGCGTCTGGAGCAGGGACACCAGCGGCGAAACGGCGGGGCCAAGAGCACGCAGAGCAGCATGAGCAGCACGTTAAAAGCGAGGACGATGGGCTGTATCCTCGGCCAGCGCGGCACGCGCCGCGGCCGCAGCCCTTCGGGGATCATCCGCTAAAAAAAAAGGGGGAGGAGGAGGAGGAGGAGGAGGAGGAGGAGGAGGGGGAGGAGGAGGAGGAGGAGGGGGAGGGGGAGGGGAAGCTTGTGGACCCCAACGGGTGCTGGTCCACCAGCGGGTGCGCAGAATACAAGATGTTCTCATTCATCGCTGATTTCTGACTCTGCCAGTTCGTCACCGGCCACTGCGCTCAAATATGCCAGCAACTCGGCCCAGGAGGCTGGAAGCAGCCAGAATGGGCCCCACTGGGGCCGAGGTGGGAGCCCGAGAGCTTCCCTGAGGAAGAGCTCGGCAGTCTCAGCCAGACGACGCTCCCAAGAGTTCACGATAGAAGCCAGACTGCGGCCCCCCCTGGATCTGCGGCCGCCCGGGGCCACCATACGAGGGGGATGGGAAGAACAGATGTGTTTCTCCAACCCCTCACTTGAGCCAAAAGTCCACAAACATGTAGACTAAGAGCCAATCGCATGCAGGCGTGGATTCGCCTGCATTTGATCGGCCCCCTACCCCCACAGGCTCATGCTAGCGTAGTGTCGCTCGCATTCCCCTGTGAGGCGTGCGCGGGCCTGCGCCTGCTATGCTGCACGGCTGCTGACTCCTATATCCAGCTGTGCAGCCCGTTACAAAACAATTCGCTCAAAATGGTCCCGCGGCGCTCCGCTGTCCCATCGGCCCACGGGACCAGGGGAAAAAAACATAACATTTCATCACACGGGCGTGGTATCCTAAACCCGGTCTTAAGTAACATGTTATACATATGCCGCGCTATGCTACGCCTCACGCACCGCAAAGCACGGCAACGAAAATGCAATGACATTCGGCCCTGTCGAAGCTGATGCATCACAGTGGCAGCAAATAGCGCAGAACATCTGATTACGTGCTCTGTCATGCTATGCCTCACGCACCGCACAACACTTCACCCCCACCACACGCTCCTCCTCTGAAGCCGTGGTGGGGCCGCGGCTGCAGCAATCACCGTGCTCTATCTGGCGCGGTGGTGTGGGGGGGGGGGGCACCCTTGCACCTCAAAACACCTGAGCACGCCGATTCTCTGACTGCGCCCTCAAACCAGAACCCGAAGCCCGAAGTGCTGCCGGATCCTCGCTGCGTGCTGGACCCCGCCGCACTTCGTTAGTCCGTCCGCGCGTTGCTCCTGCGTCTGGACGTAGAGCAGGTCAAGCAGCCCTCGCTGCACTCTGCTCCGGATCGCGTTCACCTTCGTGCTCAGGGCTCGCGTCCGCCAGCTGCCAACGCCAGAACTGACCTGGTTGGCCGCTTGATTGTCACCGTGCAACGTGGCGCGGATCCTGAGCATCATGCTCTCGAGGATCGCACTCATCGAGCTCTGCATGGCCTCCCCGACGGCCAAGGAGTTGACCTCGGCCTCGCATGTGGAGAGTGGCACAGTCTGCTGGCGCACCGAACGCCAATCCACGAGCGAGTCCCACAGGTAGGTCGCCACGCCAGTCTGTGCACCTACGTCTTCGAACGATGCATCGGCGAAAGTGTTGACCGCGACCGCCCCCACGTCGGTGCCCTCGCCCCTCTCGTAGACGATGCCGTGACCGCGCGTGCCGGCGAGGTAGCGCAACACCTTCTTGCCAAAGGCCAGAGCAATCGCAGGCCTGCGAGTGGCCAAAGCCGCCACCCGCGACGTGGCGTAAGAGATATCTGGGCGCGTGCGGCTAGCAAGCCACAGGAGGCCGCCAGCCATGCGCTGGGCCAGGCGCACCTCGCTGAGGTCGACATCCCGCTCGTCGCCGTCGAAGTCAAGGAACTCCTCCTTCTCGAGATTGATGGACCCGTTGGACTTGCAATTACACAGCCCCCCCTTCTGCAGCATTTCCTCCAAGTAACTCTTCTGGGAGATGCTGATGTCCCCGCCCCCGACGGAGATGTCGATGGAAAGGTAGCGGGCCGTGCTTGGGCGAAAGGGCCCAACGATCGGTGGCCCTGACGTTTTCCACAGTTCCCCGGTGGACCGCTGCACTGCCTCCACGACGGCCCCCCCTTCCGAGGATCAGGAAGTCGTCCACGCACGAGAAGAGATACCCTACCGGCTCCCCGGACTCGCTCTCAATGATCGTCCAAACCGCGGGGTCCGCAGTTGATTGCACCAGCTTGCAGTCCTTGCCGCCGATGCGGACGACCATGCTCTCCAATTGCGAATCTCGTTCCTCCGCCCACGCGCGGGGCGACACCCGCAACCCGTAAATGGCTTTCTGGGCCACCTAGAGCTCCCCCTCCGGCACCAAGCCGAACTTGACCATGGCGGCTGGCGGACGGACGACCACCCGCTTGTGGTCGATGGGCAGCCACGCTTTCAAGAACGCTGTGGAGACGTCCAAGGTGCCGACGTCCCAACCTCGCTTTGCCGCGATCGCCAGCGCGGCCCGCAGCGAGGAGACGTCGAGGTTCGCCGTACAGGCTCCGAGCTGTCCGCTTCGAAGTTCCCGCACACGACTGCTCGCGCCTTCCTGCGAAGGCCAGCTTCGTCGGGCGATTTGACGCCCGGCACGACCTTCATTGGAAGGATGTCCTTGGCCTTAACCATGGTCCGCTCGTGCTGCGTGAGCCTCGTGAAGACCTGCTTCTCCTGGATGCTGGTGAGCTCCGCTTCGAGCGCCTGGCGCCACTCCTCGCGTTCGGCCCCGACGCTCTTTGACAAGACGCTCATAGGGACGATGTTCGTGCCGGAGTCGCGCGCGATCTCCTTGAACTGCACTGGGATGTCGTCGTACTCGTCGTCGTCGTCGTCGTCATCATCCTCCTCTTCCTTGGCGCCCGTGGGGGCGACGGTCGAGTTGATCTCGTCGTGATAGCGGAACATCTGCATGCGCACGCCCTCTGCCGAAGGAGTCCCCGCTGTCGCTCTGGAAGCCGCAACTGCCGCACCGCGTCGGCACCGATGGTCCCGGATGTGAGCGACGCGCCGTCCTCGGCACGCCGGGCACGACCATCTCGGCCCTGCGTCTACACCAGCGTCGAAAGGAGGTCCCCGCACAGGTCCACGAAGAAGGGGACCAAGACGGCAGCGTGCATCGCGCGTGTGGGATCGGCGGGAGCGAGTCGTGCACGCCGGGCACGTGATGTCCTTCAGGTCAGCTGAGAAGATGTCCTCTTTCTCCTCGCCTGCTCCTGCTGCTCCTGATCCTCCTCCTGGCTTTGCTGCCTCCTCGCTCTCCTCAGCGACTCCTCCTGGTCCCCCCCCCCGGTCTTGCTGCCTCCTCGCTCTCCTCAGCGACTCCTCCTGGCACCTCAGCAGGGCGCGCTGGCGAGGGAACCACCACGTAGGAGCTGGAGGACTCGATGATCCACCTCCGCTCGGGCATCGTGGCCCTGGGGTCCACTCGCCCCACGAGCCATCCTCCTCCGCCCTCGTCGATCCCCAGAAAGACGCTCTCCACCGCCCTTGCCTCAAAAAGTCTCCGCGGCACGTCATTTACACGTGCCGTGACCGCTGCGCCGAAGGCTGGACAGCCCGTGGGGCGACCATCTGCCGCCATCCTGGAGCACCAGGCGGCATGCTGTGTCGCGCACGCCCAGAGGACCTGGCGATCCTCCATCGAGGGGAACGCGAGCAACATTGCCCTGGCTCGCTGCTTCACGAGCCCCACGCCCTTCTCTGCTCTCCCATTCGCGTTGGACTCGTACCCCGGAGTGGAGGTCACGACGATCCCCTTTTCGGCAAAATGGGCGCGAACGCGCTCTCCAGTGAGCTCAGAGGCTCGGTCGCCGTGCACGCGGCACACGACGTCGGCGCCCTCGAAGAGCCGTCGCAACTCCGCGATGATGCGGTTCAGCGCCTGGATGCACTTCTCGGGGTGTTTGCTCTCGAGCGGCACCGCGAAGTACCACGTCCTCCTCGCCTCGGAGCCTCCGTCGCCCTGCTCCTCGGCAGCGTCGTCATTCATGTTCCCGGAAGCCTCTCTGGGAACATGATCCGCGGGCTCCGCGATGATGGTTGGTTCGGGTTCGCCGCTATCCCACTGCTGGCCCGGCCCCCTGGCCGGCCGCGCGGCCGCGCCGAGCGCTGCAGCCACTGGCGCAAGCAACCGTCGCACGGCCAAGCATCCAACCGGCGAGGTCGAGCCAGCTGCCACTGCGGCCCCTGCAGCTCCTCCTGGTTGTGCGGGTGGTTCTCCCCCCACTCCCCCTGTTCCTCCAGCGCCCTCCTCAACGCCCGCGTCGGCGCGAGCTGCCTCCTCGCGCAACGCGCGCAGCGCTAGGTCCGCGCCCGTGGCGACGGAGAACGCGCCAAGGAGGAAGTAGGTGGCCTTCCGCCCAGCGTCTTCTGGCCGCCCACTGGGCCACCTGCCCGCGAGGTGCGGGCCAGATAAGTCCACCGACAGCTGCCCGCCAGGGCGGGTCGCCGCGTCGCGACGGAAGTGCGGTTTCATTATGCCGGGGGTGCCGCGGCAGAGCCCGCAGTTCTTATCGAACTTCACGTGCCCGTTCTCCGCGTGCTCCCTCAGCGCTGGATGCGGCACTGCCCCTGCAGGCCGCGCCGCTGCCATCGCGCGCAAACCTCGCGCGAGCGTCGCCATCGCGGCGCGGAAGCGGGCGCGCATCATCTTGCGCCGCTCCTGCCGTAAGATCTCGGCGTTCTCCTCCGAAATGTAGAGGGCGCCGTCGATCCGCTCGAAATGGACCTTCCTGCCGTCGGCCAGCTCCACGAAGCAGTCCGCCGGGTCCCACGTCATCTTGAGGCCGAGCGCCTCGATGTAGGACGAGAGAGGAAACAAGCGCTGAATGTCATCGCCGGTCACGTATACGATGTCCTGCTGCATCCGCGCCTCCACTTTCCCCGTCGCTGTCCGAAGTCCGACTCGGGTGCCGCGAACCGACGCAAGATCAGAGACTCCGCGAAGCTCACGCGTCGCCCCGGTATCCGCGAGCAGCAGCTTTGCAGACCGAGCGACGACCTTGGCGATCGAGATGGTCTTCGCCGAGGGCCCCGCCTCCCAGAACGCCAGCTCGTCCGAGACCTGGGCGAGCGAGCCCTCGGGCGCTGCACCCACCCCCATCAGACTGAGGAGCTGGGCTGAAACCTCCGCCCTCGCAGCCTGCGCTGCGGCTGCCTCCATCGATCCGGCCGCGGGCGCCGAGACGGTCGGGCTCGTCTCACTCCTCTCTCCTCCTCTCTGTCCTCGTCCTCGTCCTCCTCCTGCTCCTGCCTCTGGGCACTCAGCTGCAGCTGCGCGCGGAGGAGTCCGAGGGTGAGGGCACTCGTCGTTCCGGTGCTTCGTGGAGCCGCAGTTGAAGCACTTGCCATCGCTCGCCGCGAGGCCTCGGTGCTTCTGGCGGCAATTCGCCCCGCGGTTGCACCCAGAGTCGCGGTCGAAGTACGGGCAAAAGCGCTCGCTGCCCTTGCCGGTGTCCTTCTCCCTGTTCTTATCCTTGTCCTTACTTTTGTCGCCGTTCTTGTCCTTATCCTTGATCTTATTATTATCCTTCTCCTTGCCATGCCCTTTGGGGTCCCTGCCACCGGTCTCCAGGGCCAGGGCTGCCACTCGAGCTGTCTCGCTCTTGCTGCCCTCGCTGCTCGCACCACCTGCGAACTCGCGGGCTTCGGCGCTGAGGTAGCGCCACAATTCGTCAACCTGCGCCTGCGCGCAGACGCCGCCGGAGAGACCATGGAACACCAGGAAGCCATAGTACCTGTGCTTCACCTCCTGGTCGCTCTCCACCATCTTCGCCACGACCGTCTTCAAGGTCGTGAGCTGCACCGAAGGGTCCGGCGCGTTCACGCCGAGGGAGGCCAACCGCGTGACGTTCAGCATCCAGCGCTGCAGCTCCTCGTAGGTGTTCTGCTTCTCGACGGCGCGCCCCTTCGAGACCGCGTCGAGGGTGTAGCCCTTGTCGGCAGAGGTCCCGGGCCCTGCCTCCACGAAGGCGCCGAACAGGATGTCCACGGTCGAAGTCATCCTCGTCGCAAGGCACTGCGACGTGACGCCAGCAGGCATGAGGTGGAGAAGAAGACCTCGAAGGCGAAGCTCACAATTGCTAAAGTTGATCGCCTCAGCCTCCGCCGCGATCCAACTCACCGGCTGGGATGGCCGAATCCCCGGGCGCTGCAGGGGGCCATGGGACAGGTAGCTGCAATGAGCCTCGCTGACCACCGCCACCACGCGTGCCCAGTAAGCCTAGATCAAATGATGGAGGCCCCCCAGGTCGAGGGTGATCCGCTGCAGCCACCTGTCGAAGATGGCCGCCTTCTGGCCCGCACTGCACCCCTTGCCGAAGGTGAGCACGGGCAAGTCGGAGGCCTTGATCCTGGCCAGCACGTTCTCGAGCGTGCTGTCTCGCCCAGGCTGCTGTGGGATACCGTCAGCAGCAGCAGCAGCAGCAGCAGCAGCAGCTCCGCCGCACGGTGGAGGTGGAGGTGGTGCACCGCCTCCTGGTCATCCGAAGCCTCCACCGCCAGGGCCCCCAGGTCCACCAAAGCCGCGAGGCTGCCCACTTGGCCCGAACCCGCCTCCTGGGGCGCCGGGCCCACCGAATCCGTGAGGAAATCCACCTGGTTCGAGTCCGACTCCTGGGGCCGCGGACCCTGGGTAGCTGCCAGCAGGGCCGCTGCCTGCTGCGCCAGGGTCGCCGCTCGAACCCTGGATCGGCCCTGGCCTGCCGCCCGAACCTGTTCTGGCAGCACCTGCTTGAGGCGGCTGTTGGGGAGCACCTCCAACAGTTTCATCGCCCCCTCCATCCTGCTGATCTTCACGCCCATCATCACGACCTCGATCACCACGAAGTCCAGGAGGGTCGTCGCAGCTCCCGCAGCCACCCTGCGGAGCCGTGTGGGGAGCACCAGCCGCACTCCAGGACTGGTCGTAGAGCTCGTCGATGTCTGTGGCGCCATGCCCCTGCTGAACGTCGACTCCACCACCTGCCCTGAAGGCCTCAGAGCTGACAGAGGCCCCTGAACGCGCGGACACGGCGCTTACAGCATCGGCGCGCAGCTGCTCATTCTCAGCGCGCAGCGCCCTCATCTCTGCACGCGTGGACCTGAGCTCTGCAAGAAGCTCTGAGGACACGTCCTGTCCAGACTCGCCGTGCGTGGGCACCTCGCGGCCGGACCCAGCGTCGGAGATGTCGTACTCCTCGAGGGCGCGGGGTCGGACCAACGGCAGAGACGCCGAAGACGAGGCCTGAAGGGACAGTGGCGCGGCCGTCAGGCCTCCGAGCGCCGACCTCGCTCCTTGGGCGGCCCCTATCGCGAGCCGCGCAGCGCGGCCCAGCGCGCCCGTCGCAGCTGCTCCGATCGCCTGGCCTGCCAACGCGCCGCCGCAGCCCATGGCACGGCCCAGGCCCTGGGCAGATGCCTGGAAGCGCGCCTGCGCACGGGCTGCGTCAAAGCCGTGTACGCAGGCGTAGCACACCACGATGCCTGCGCGCACGCCCACGCAGTGCGAGTGAACCTGCCCGCCGCAGCTCTCGCACTGGACGCTCGGGCCGTGCAAGTAGTCGCCGCACGACCGGCACGCCCGAATAATCCATGGTGGTGTCGATGTCATCGCACTTGGGCTCATAATCCTTGTGGACCCCAGCGGGTGCTGGTCCACCAGCGGGCGCGCAGAATACAAGATGTTCTCATTCATCACTGATTTCTGACTCTGCCAGTTCGTTATCGGCCACTGCGCTCAAATATGCCAGCAACTCGGCCTGGGAGGCCGGAAGCAGCCAGAATGGGCCCCACTGGGGCCGAGGTGGGAGCCCGAGAGCTTCCCTGAGGAAGAACTCGGCAGTCTCAGCCAGAGGACGCTCCCAAGAGTTCACGATAGAAGCCAGACTGCGGCCTCCCCTGGATCTGCGGCCGCCCCGGGCCACCATACGAGGGGGATGGGAAGAACAGATGTGTTTCTCCAACCCCTCACTTGAGCCAAAAGTCCACAAACATGTAGACTAAGAGCCAATCGCATGCAGGCGTGTATTCGCCTGCGTTTGATTGGCCCCCTACCCCCACAGGCTCATGCTAGCGTAGTGTCGCTCGCATTCCCCTGTGAGGCGTGCGCGGGCCTGCGCCTGCTATGCTGCACGGCTGCTGACTCCTATATCCAGCTGTGCAGCCCGTTACAAAACAATTCGCTCAAAATGGTCCCGCGGCGTTCCGCTGTCCCATCGGCCCACGGGACCAGGGGGAAAAAAACATAACATTTCATCACACGGGCGTGGTCTCCTAAACCCGGTCTTAAGTAACATGTTATACATATGCCATGCTATGCTACGCCTCACGCACCGCAAAGCACGGCAACGAAAATGTAACGACATTCGGCCCTGTCGAGGCTGATGCAACACAGTGGCAGCAAATAGTGCAGAACATCTGATCACGTGCTCTGTCATGCTATGCCTCATGCACCGCACAACACTTCACCCCCCACACACACACACACACACCACACACACACACACACACCACACACACACACACACACACACACCCACACACACGGGGAGGGGAGGGGGAGGGGGGGGGGGGAGGGGGAGGAGGAGGAGGAGGAGGAGGAGGAGGAGGAGGAGGAGGAGGAGGAGAGAGCAGGACGACGAGTAGAAGAGGAGGAGGAGGAGGAGGGAGGGAGGAGGAGGAGGAGGAGGAGGAGGAGGAGGGAGGAGGAGGGAGGAGGGAGGGGAGGAGGAGGAGGGTAGGAGGGGAAGGAGGGGAGGGAGGATGGAGGAGGGGAGGAGGGAGGAGGGAGGAGGGAGGAGGAGGGAGGAGGGAATGGGAGGATGATGGAGGAGGAGGGAGGAGGGAGGAGGAGGAGGAGGATGAGGAGGAGGGAGGAGGGAGGAGGGAGGAGGAGGGAGGAGGGAGGAGGGAGGAGGGAGGCGGGAGGAGGGAGGGGGAGGAGGGAGGAGGGGGAGGAGAGGGGAGGCGGAGGAGGAGGAGAAAGGAGGAGGCAAATGAGGTAGAGGAGGAGAGGGAGGGGAGGAGGAGGAAGATGAGGAGGAGGGAAAGGCGGAGGAGGAGGAGGAGGAGGATCCCCTCCATCTCCCCCCCTCCCCCCCTTCCCCCAGGAGGAGGAGGAGAAGAAGCAGGAGCAGGAGCAGGAGCAGGAGCAGGAGCAGGAGGAGGAGGAAGAGGAGGAGGAACAGGAGAAGCAGGAGGAGGAGCAGGAGCAGGAGCAGGAGGAGAAGGAGGAGGACGACGACGACCTCAAGCCCCCTGCCCCGCTCCCTCCCACCACTCACCCTCACCCTGCCCCGCCTCTCCCCATTCCAATCCTCTCCCCTCGTCGCCCACTCCCACTTGTCCAGTCTCATCTTGTCGAACTCCATGCAGACGATCACAACAACGGACACCAGCATCTGTATGATGACCAGAAGGCAGGTCCCCTCGAACGCCTTCGCAGCCTTCCCGCTGAGGATTGAGGAAGCGCAGAGAGGCGACGCTCTTTCTTTACAAAGGAATGACGAAAAAAGGAAGAGGGAGTGGGAAACGCCTTCTTATTCAGGACGTTCATGGCCAGGCTAGCAAAGATGTACAAAGCGCTTACGACCAAAATCACCACTAGGCTCGGCTGCTTCAGCATGTCCGTGCGCAATAGGTAGAGAACCAACGGGGTACCCAGTAGCGCGACCACCATCACGAGGTTGCCCTTGAGCTTCAGCCCGGGATCGACGTGATGAGACGAAGTGTCCTGGACGCTCGAACTGTTGCCAGCAGCCCTGCGTTGTATACTCGCAGGAGGGTCCAAGGGAGTCTGCGAGGGATCCAGGCCAGGAGTGGAAGGCGCGCTATCGGCCGCATCGATCCGCAAGGATATCCCTGTCACGTGACGCGCTGCAATCAACAGCAGCACGCACTTCGATGCCGAGATCCGCCACCGGCCCCCCTGGCACGTTGAGGCGTGGAAGGGTGCCCCGGTCTGCCTGGTGGGGTGTTTCGCGATCTGATCAGGGGCCGCCCCTCCTCCTCCTCCTCCTCCTCCTCCTCCTCCTCCTCCTCCTCCTCCTCCTCCTCCTCCTCCTCCTCCTCCTCCTCCTCCTCCTCCTCCCCTTCCGCCTCTGCCCGCAGACCGCTGCAGGCATCGCCCCTCCTTTCCGAGGCCCCGTCTCTCGTGCCCGCTCGAGGACGGTGCCTTCCCAGCATAGCAGCGAGTGCATAATTTAGGGAACCGAACTCTATACACCGACGCTTTTTTGCTGGCCCTGCATTGAAATTTGCACTGGAGAGCGGATCCTGGTGTATACGGGACCCTGGTGTATACATTTTTCTTTGTTTCCCTGGGACAGTGGGGAAAAAAGTATACACCACACCACCCCAGCGTCGTCCCCGACCCTCAAAAAGTCCGGGGATTGAAAAACAGCCCGCCACTGGTAATGTATATGTTCCAGTTTCCGATAATTCCCCATTCCACGCACGCCCGCTCGAGGACGGTGCACGTCCCCACGGCAGCTGATGTCTGAACCCCCCTTCCACGCGCACCCGCTCACATTCCCAGGCGCTGCTCCCAAGCGGCCTCCGAGACACGACTCCTCGTTAAAATCGATGGATCGCGTCCCGAGCTTACAAGACAGCCCGTGCAGGCAACCAAGAACACCAAGGTGGTCCCAAGATGCCTCGAAGACGGCCCAAGATGGCCTCAAGGAGGCCGAATATCGGTTCAAGACGGCCGAAGATGCCTCCAAGAGGACCCAAAATGGCCATACGTGGACCCCCAGCAGGGTCAGAAGAAGCCAAAGGCATTGATTCCCCGTTGCTTGTTTTAATGAGTTCAGCATTCGCGCCTTTTCGGGCTGCCGTCAGCTCAAGACGGCCCAAGTGGACTCCACGATAGCGCAAGAGTCATCCAAGTCGGCCCTGGGACGGCCAAAGAGGGCCTCCCGTTGGACCGAAGACACCTTAAGGCCCTTCGACGGCCCAAGACGGCGCCAAGACGGCACCACGACGGCCCCACACCCACCATACGGCCAAGAGGGCCCCAAGACGGCCCAAGAGAGCCCCAAGCAGGGGCGAGAGGGCCCAAAGACGGCGAATGAGGGCCAGAAGGGACCCCCTAAGACTGCCTCGCAAGATGCCAAGACAGCCCCAAGACGGCTCACTCGAGTTTCATCATCATCATAGCACCACCACCACCACCACCACCACCACCACCATCATCATCATCATCATCATCATCATCATCATCATCATCATCAGCAGCAGCAGCAGCAGCAGCATCATCATCATCATCATCATCATCATCATCATCATCATCATCATCATCATCATCAACAACATCATCATCATCATCATTCATCATCATCAGCATCATCAGCATCATCATCATCAGCAGCAGCATCATAAACATCATCACTCATCATCGTCATCATCATCAGCATCAACATCAGCATCAGCATCAGCATCAGCATCATCATCATCATCATCATCATCATCATCGTCAGCATCATCATCATCAGCAGCAGCATCATCATCATCATCATCATCATCATCATCATCATCATCATCATCATCATCATCATCATGGGGCAGCCGCATGAACAGAATTCACAGCCGCCGACTGGTGGAAATGGAAACGTCTCGCCCGGGACGTTACGCTAGGATCGGCGCCTTCTGCCGACGACACCACAGATCCTCTTGCAGCTCCGTGCCCCGAGTGTGAAAAACTTTTCAGTTGCAGCAAAGCCGTCGCTACGCACAGGATGAGGGTTCACGGCCATCGGAAACCCGTGGCGTCCGTGATCCCAGCAGGGGCTACGACATGCCCTGCCTGCTCAAAAGTTTTCGGGACCACCCGGCAACTTTTAGACCATGCGCAGTACAGAGCTCGCAAGCGCCGAGATGCGATGCTCGCACTACGAGGTGTCTTTCCGAGAGTTGTGTCATGCCGCACGCCTTAGGCCTATACCGAATGTATGCCTGCCATCATCATCATCATCATCATCATCATCATCATCATCATCATCATCAGCATCAGCATCATCATCATCATCATCATCATCATCATCATCATCATCATCATCATCATCATCATCATCATCATCATCATCATCATCATTCATCATCATCAGCATCATCAGCAACATCATCATCACCAAGAACAACAACACAAACAGCAACAGCATCAGCCTCAGCATCAGCATCATCATCATGATCCGCATCATCGTCAGTAGCATCACCAGCAACAACATTACAACACCATCATCGACAGCAGCATCATCGCATTCTTCATCCCCATTGGCATCGTCGTTGCTGTCGCCATCATCATCACAATCATCATCAGTCGCTTCGTTTGCATGACATCATCCATACTGATATTATCATCAGCATCATCATCATCAGCATCAGCATTACGATCATCATCAGTATCATCAGCATCACCATCATCATCAGCATCATCATCAGCAGCATCATCATCAGCATCGTCATCACAAATAAATCAGCATATACAGAGACATCACCCTCGTCACCATCATCTCACCAACAAGCAAAACAGCAACAAAATCAGCATCAGCGTCAGCATCATCAACATGATCATCATCATCGTCATTACCATCAGCATCAACATCGTCATCAGCGCCTTTGCCGTCGTCATCGCCATTGGCATCGTCGTCGTTGTCGTCGTCATTACCATGACCATTATCAGTCGGATCATCGTCATGACATGCATCATCGTCAGCATCATCATCATCAGCAGCATCGGCATCGTCATCGTCATCATCGTGGTCGTCGTCATCATCATCATAAACAGCATCGCCGTCATCCTCATCCTCACCATCATCAGCATCAGCATCATCATCGTCATCATCAGCAGCAGCAACCACAGCATCGTCATCATCATCATCAGCATCATCCGCATCATCCTCATCCTCATCCTGATCATCATCATCATCATCATCCTCATCATCATCCTCATCATCATCATCATCATCCTCGTCCTCCTCATCATCACCATCGCCATCATCATCAACAGCAGCATCATCGTCGTCATCGGCATCGCCATCACCATCATCCCATCAGTGTTAGAATCACCATAATACTCAGCATACTCATCATGGCCCTCCCAAGAGTGGAGATACGAGTTGTCACACGTGCTGGTATCACGTGCCCTTCTGAAGAGCTGCCACTCAGAATGCTGGGCTGGCACGGTGGCGGGACATGCCGCAGGCAGCTGGATGGGAGCCATCCTGGCACCTCTGGCTGTGCGCTGGCGACTGTGTATGGAGGATACAGTGAAGCATTCAAGGGTCAAGAGCAACTGAACTTCAACTTGAACCAATATTCAATACACCAATTCAAACAATCGAACGCGATCAAGTTCTACATGGTTCGGAAACTAGCGTACAGCGCGGATGAGGGACCCGTTTCGAATTGACGGGAACCGTGGGTTTCGCAGCCACGAAGACAGCGCTGGGGGTGGTGGGGGGTGAGGGGGAGGGAGCAGGGAGGAGGGGTAAGGGACGAGGCGGGAGTACGATGTGGAAGGAGGGAGTAGGGGGGGGGAAGGCGGAGGAGGGCGAAGAAGGAAGGAGAGGAGGTGGAGAAGGAGGGAGTGGGGAGGGAGGGGGAAGGGAGGGGGGGGGGAGGCCCTCGCTGGCCTTCTCCACCGAGGCCAACGCCAGGAAGGAAGAGGTGAAACACAGCCCTGGGGCTGACAAGGAGGAAACGCAGAGGGGTTGGTCCTCTTGCTCCTCCTCCTCCTCTTCCTCATCCTCCTCCTCCTCCTCTCCTCCTCCTCCTCCTCCTCCTCCTCCTCCTCCACTTCCTCCTCCTTCTCCTCCTCCTCCTCCTCCTCCAACTCCTCCTCCTACTCCTCCTCCTCCTCCTCCTCTTCCTCCTCCTCTTCCTCCTCCGCCTCATCCTCATCCTCATCCTCCTCATCCTCGTCCTCCTCCTCCTCCTCCCCCGCCTTCTCCTCCTTATTCCCACATCCAAGCGAAGAATCTCAGCAGCGTCGCGCTGACCAAGGTGCCTGCGAAGGAGAAGTTCGCCGCGGCCAGCACCGAGATTCATGAGTGGGAGTGGTGCCGCACGTGCTGGCGGTGTAAGATCTGTTTGCGAACTAGAAGGCCACAAGAGTTTAAGTTTAGCTGTTCTGCGAAGCCCGAAGAAGTGGGTTGCTCAGGTGAGAGAGAACGCGTTTCACGGGCGCTTGCCTTGGGAACATTCGGCGGCGCGTTTCGAACCGGGGGGGGGGCCACCCCCACCACTCGGCGCCGTCGATCAAAACCAAGGGGACTCCCCTCCCCCCAAGCCCCCCCCCCTCCCGAACCCCCCGCCCC